CGCATCCTACTGGTCCCCGAGAGGCAACAGGCGCGGGTGCAGGCCTATCGGAGCGCGGTGTGCGGCGGCGGGGCGGGGCAGCGCGAGCAGCGCTTCCAGGAGATGGGCCGGGAGCTCCGAGAGCAGATCGACACGCAGAGCGTCATCGACAAGGTGCGGGCGCCGCGCAGGCGCGTGCAGACGTCGCCCCTCCCCCTCCTTACTTGCTCCCTGCCTCCTCTTTTCCTGCTCGCCCCCGTTCCTCTCATCTGTCCTCTCCCTCGCAGCTGAAGCTGGGGCAGGGGAACAGCTCCGGCGCGCAGTCGCACCTGGGCGCCCTCCTGCAGGACCTGGCGGACGTCGAGAGGCTCCTGAGGGACGTGGACCTGCTGTCGGCCCTGGCCAAGCTGCTCCCCAAGGGCGCCTGCGCCGGGCACCAGCCCCCCCCGCCGGCCAACGGAACGGCCTGGGGCGGCAACGGCACCGCGGCCTGGCCCAACGCCACCGAGGCCCCCAGCGAGGAGGGGGCCGCAGGCGTGGGCGGGGAGAGCCCCCCCTCCCAGTTCTCCGCCTTCGTGCAGCTGTGGGCCGGACTGCAGCCCATCCTGTGCGGGAACAACAGGTGGGGTGCACTTGCACGCAGGAGGGCGGTGTCGCCCCCTGCTGGATACTGGTGATGTCAGCGCCCTGCTGCTGCTGCTGCTCATTTGTGTGGGTAGCCAGCTGCAGTGTCTTTGAATAAGTCAGAGAACTTCATAAGTACGCCCAGTGCTCTGTGAAAATTGTGTGTGTGTGTAAGATTGTGTGACCCTGGGTGCTGTGTTGTTGTGGTCAGGATCATCGAACCCGAGGCGTTGAAGCAGGGCAATATGAGCTCACTGGGCTTCACCAGCAAGGAGCAGAGGAACCTGGGGTTGCTGGTGCACCTCATGACTACAAATCCCAAGATCCTTTACTCCCCCGTGGGGTCAGAGGTTGACAAGGTCATCCAGAAGGTGGGTCGAGCGCTTTATGGATGCTGGGTGGTTTACTTGGGGTTGCACACATTGCGCAGGAGGGGAAGTTTTAGTTAATGCACAACAAGGAATGTCTTGTCTTCAGGCTGATGAACCAGTAAATTGGTCAGTTTTATCCCTTGCTGGCTTTCTCCGGCATATCTCGCAGTTAGACCTGCAACAGGACGGTGCTTAATGGGGTACAGTACATAGACTTGACTTTTCAATAATTTGTCTACTATAGTATGTCCTGAATTTTAAGAGGCATTGTTGGTACATAGTTTTTGCTATAAGCTTTTTTTTTTCTTTATGGAGCTAGAAAAAGCAGATTTGAATTGTGTAGCAGACTGAAGTTAAGTCTCACCCTGTCTCTCTGCTGACCCCCACAGGCCAACGAGACATTTGCGTTCGTGGGGAATGTGACTCACTACGCCCGCGTCTGGCTCAACATCTCCGCAGAGCTGCGCACCTTCCTGGAGGAGGGGAAACTGCAGAACCGCATCGCCTGGCTGCAGCAGGTCAGACTGGGCCGGGCTGGACCGGGTTCGAACTAGATGGGGCAGAACTGATTGGAGTTGAGGTGGGCCAGACTGGGTCGGGCTGGACCGGGCACGAACTCGAGCTAGATGGGGCAGGACTGATTGGGGATGAGGTGGGTCAGACTGGGTCGGGCTGGACTGGGCACTAACTTGAGCTAGATGGGGAAGGACTGATTTGGGATGAGGTGGGCCAGACTGGGTCAGGCTGGACTGGGCACTAACTTGAGCTAGATGGGGCAGGACTGATCGGGGA